AACCTTTGGACACTGACAATTCTGTTAGTGCCTCCAAGGGTGATTCTGATCGGGACAATTCAAGCCAACAGACATCGAACACCGATCCATTTCCTGCACCACAAGTGACAGAGGAACTTCTAATCTCTCCCTCTGAAGATCTAAAGTCATATGGAGAATTGATTAAACACATGCCCCATACCTTGGCCTTATCCATTGTCCAGCCTCAACCCAGTGTCACAGATACTGTGTTCGATGTTGTCCAGTTGGACACTCTACTGCCATTGCACTACCAATAATGATGGTCATGCTTCAGACAGCAAAGCTTTGTGGGTGAAGCCGGCCTCCACACTTGTTACACCTTGATGACTCAACCATATGTATCGAATGCAGGAGGCCGGTGCTGAGTTTCTATTCTCTCACCTGAAACTGGACTCCATCATTGTCTCCTCCTCATCCAAAGCTCAAGGGATACACTTGACACCAATGGACAAGGAAGGAAAAAAGCTGGATATCCTTAGTCGGAAGCTTTATTCCTCAGGAGCCATAGAAATTAAAGCCACCAACTACACTGCCTGAATGGGCAGATACCAATACGCCCTGTGGGAACAACTTTCTGATACTATTGCCACTCACCTGCAGGACAAACGTTCAGCTGCCAGGTGTATACAAAAAGAGGGACTGTTCCTGGTGAAACAACAACTAAACTCCTCAAAGCACATCTTGGATGTCTTTTCAAAAACTCTTGCATCAGCTTTCACACTTAGACGCCATGCATGGCTTCACTCCATGTCCCTACAGCAAGACACTAGATCATAAGTGGATGACTTACCTTTTGATGGTTATGGTCTCTTCAGCTCAACTACAGACACAGTCCTGCAAGAGATGGACAGGAGCATCAAAATCTCACGTAATTTAGGGGTGTCATCGTCGTCCCACTCTGCCACACTTGATACAGTGAGCGACCTTGAGGCTCCATGCATGTCTTCTGGTTCTATTCTGGATTATTTCAGTCCACTCAGCCTTAAGGAAGTCAACAGATTGCTCTCAACGGTATGCCCAACCATGTGCACCCTTGATCAGTGCCCTTCATGGCTTATAAAAGCTGGCCGTGAGGGGTCACGAGGGGCCCTCAGGGATATTTTCAACAAGTCCTTCGCCGAGGGACTGTTCCCGGGGGCACTCAAGGAAGCAATGGTCTGCCCTCTCCTGAAAAAAAATCTTTGGACCCGGCTGAATTGGCCAACTATTGGCTTGTCTCTAATTTGCCCTATTTGGGGAAGTTACTTGAGAAAGCGGTGGCAATTCAGTTGCAGAGCTTTATGGATGACACTTCCATGCTAGACCCGTTCCAGTCCAGCTTCCGGCCGGATCATGGGACTGAGACGGCACTGGTCGCACTCACAGATGACCTCTGGAGGCATCTGGATCGAGGCGGTACGGACCATCAGCTACTGATCCACCGCCTCGCCGACACTGGGATCCAGCCTTGCAATGGCTTGTCTCCTTTCTCCAAGGTCAGGGACAGAGGGTGGCATTAGGGGAACAGACATCCCAGAGGTACCCACTGGCTTGCGGGGTTCCTCAAGGGGCGGTACTGTCCCCAATGTTGCTTAACATCTACATGCGCCCTCTTGCCCAGATTGCCCAGAGACATAGGCTTGGGTAAGTGGAACAGGTTCATGAAATATGCTACCTCAGTAACTGTGCTCCCAGACCAGGCTGGCCTTTCGATTGGTTTTGATTTTCTGCTCTCTTTAGTGGTTTCTGGCCGAAGCCAGTCCTCACTCCACATCTATTTGGCTGCCATCTCTGCTCATCATCAACCTGTAGAAGGTTATTATTTATTTTCTCATCCGGACACTAAACATTTTCTGAAAGGGCTACTTCGTTTGTACCACCAGTTAAACAGCCTACAGTGGCATAGGATCTGCCCCTGGCTCTGCACAAACTGACAGGGAAACCATTTGAACCCATGGCCCATGGATATGAAATCTCCTCTCAAAGATTATCAAAATGGATAGTGGAGACTATCACACTATGCTGTCTATTGGCTAAACGTTCGCTTCCTGGATCTGTACATGCTGATTCCACTAGGGCTCTCACTACATCGACTGCTTTCCTTAAAGGCACACCATTACAGGAGATCTGCAAGGCAGCCACATGGGCTACTCCACATACCTTTGTGAAACACTATGCCTTGGATGTCCGTCTGCATCAACGGACGATGGGATGATCTGTCTTGCAGTCTGCTTGTGCCTGAGTACCTGCTTGCTATTCTCCCATGGATGTGATGCACAGAGACCACGACGAAGATAAACAGGTTGCTTACCTGTAACTGATGATCTTCAAGTGGTCATCTGTGCATTCACACAACCCACCCTCCTTCCCCACAGCTGTTGGTTCTCTGGCACTCAAATGGGTCATATAGCAGTCAGAAGGAACTGGCGGGATGTCTGTGAGCATGCGCGGTAGGGCTCCTGCACATGACATTGGGGGAAAGGCATGAAAATCCTTTCCAGTTTGGTAGGTTACTGATCAGGATCGGCGCAGGCACCCTAACCCCATGAGTGTGAATGCACAGATGACCACTCGAAGTTACAGGTATGCAACCTGTTTTTTCCTGTTTCCTTTTCTTCTTCCACCCACCTCCCAAACTATGTCTTTCTGCCCTCCATCTTCAGCTTTACCTCCTTCCCCCAAGTCTCCTCTACCCAGGAAAACTGCGGCCCAGTTGTATGGTGCCAGCCACTGGGCCAGGTCCAGTTATATGATAGGGAATGCTCAAGGGCTTGCAGTAATTGCTCGTGTTCCTCTGTATCTCCCTCTTCACACTATTTCCCTACTCCTGGCAACCCTGTATTCTTCCTGTTTTTCTTCTTCTCAGCCATTCACCAACCTACCTCTGATCTGCCCACACCCTATCTTTAGCTATATTTATTATTTACTTACTTCATTTATATCCCACCTTTGCAGCTTGTGTCATTCATCTCTCCACCATTTTGTCATTACAACAACCCTATGAGGTAGGTTAGGGAGAGAGTATGTGACTGGCCCAAGATCATCTGTTAAGCTTCCATGGCACACTGATGATTTGAACTTAGGTCTTCCAGATCCTAGTCTGAACCTCTAACCAATGCATTACAATGAGTTTTGTGGGGTGGGTGCTGTTGAGCAGTAGTAAGCAGACAGGTGAGCCTGGGTGAGTCATGCAGGTCATATGGCAGGAAGTCACTCAGTGGTGGCCCCAATGAGTCCTCTCAAAAGCTAAAGTTAGATAGGGCCATGTCCCCTCCCCCTGCTTTCTATTGGCAGAAACCAAACCTGAAAGGCTAGCAATACTGTTGTAGTTGCCTAACAGCAGCCATTTAGAGCATCTGTTTCTTAAAGCTACAGGTGCTCCTTTTGTCACTGGGGGGGGGTTAACGTAACGCCCTCCCTTTCGTTCCTCCCCTCTCTCTCATCCATTCTTTGTCACTCATGCCCCCGTCTCATTCTGTCTCCCCCCACCCTACTTTATCACTCTTCCTTTTTCTCCCTCTCTTCCCCTCCCTGTGAGACTCATGGAGGTTGGCTCACTCACCTGCCTCCTCTGTGCTGCTGTGTCTACCTGTCTATCCCCCCACATACCCACTGTTGCTCTACTTACCACAGTGGCCCCATTGTCCACCTCATGTTGTGGTGGCAGCAGAGATGGTGCATTGTGGGGGAGGGAAGTTCCTGCTCCTCCTCAGCTGCCCTTGGAGGCAGCAGCAAAAGGAGATTTGTCTCACTTGCCCAGCCATCCCACTCTAGAATGTTCCGGCCACCCAACTTAGTGGCAGTTTTAGCAGCTGGAGAAGGCAGCGGCAGCCAAGACTTCCCCACCTCCTCACCTGTCCACCCACCTCCGGTGCTGTTGCCTCAGCAGCCACTTCAGTGGTGGGGGAAGATGGGTGTGGCATGGGTTTCCATTCCTGCTTTTGACTCACCCACCTGCCTCCATGCTGCCACCTCAGCAGCATTTGGGACATCAGAGCTTTGCCCAGCTTTCCCATGTGCTTCCATTGGGGCCACATCAGCAGCAGGCAGGAAGGAGACTCCCCAGAGACTGTTTTTAGGCATTCTGGAAGCATATTTTTCTGCAAACCTGAAGAGTTTCTCCAAGTTTAGAGAAAAATATCCCTTTTGTCGATGTCACCATGATCCACAGATTTATGTAGCTGCAGCTTTGGCTGTGCTGACTATTAGATGTATTCATCCCCAGGTCTTCCATTTATAGTTGTCATGATGGTCCTCATAAGTTAGAAGATGCCGCTGGCCTGTAAAAATTGCTATTGTATCCTAGTCACATCGTATGAGCTTGGTCCTATCACATGGAAGTAAAAATTGAGAAGGAATTTTTCATTTTTTTTTTTAAACTTGTCTTTTGCTGTGACATTGCCTAAGTCTAAGATAGTATAAATAGTGATAATTTTTAGGGAAGGAATAGGAAACCATCATTTTTGTGCTTTAGGACCATTTGTTTCGTAGCTCAACAAGTTCCTGCCTGTGTGAAACTTGAGTGGTTCCACAGCTGAAGTAATGCCCCAAATGACTCGCTATCTGAACCAGGGTGCCTTACTGAGGTACAGTAAGCTCATGTCCAAAGGTTGTTTCTATAATGTAATGTACAGTTTTTACAGTTTGAGGATTACAGGATCACACTTAAGCTGATTCCAAAATTTCAAGGCTGCAGAAATTGTTATGGGATAGAATGTCCTATTCATAGCCTACCCAGGACCATTAGTGTTACACATGTGCATTTTATTATTTCCAGTATAGTTAAATTGTGGCTTTTACGAGCAGTGAACTTATTGCCTGCTTAGTAAAATAAATATTCTTAATGTTATCGTACTAGAAGCTGGGTTCCCTGACATGACCTGCAAATTCAAAATACAATTGTGTTACCACAGCAAATCACAATTTACGTGGCATTCAGGAGATACTGTAAAAACAGGAAATCCAGTTCTGAATCTGTATGCTCTGTATTTTTCTTGTAGCTGGGGACGCTGGACTGATATTCTCTTGCATGGGCGCTACAAACGCCAGCTAACAGAACAAGATGTAGAAACCATCTGCCGGACTATCCTTGTGTATTGTCTTAATCATTACAAAGGTGATGAAAATATCAAAAGTTTCATCTGGGATCTGATCACTCCAACTGCAGATGGACAAACACGAGCTTTGGTTAACCATTCTGGTATGTGTCGTCATATTACTGGTTCATGACAAACTCTCCTGTGTGAAACATTGCTGTGTGATCTTGTCAGACTTGGAAATTAAGCCAGGAGTAGCTCAATACTTCCTGGGTAACATCTAAAAATGTGCTGCTGCTATTTATCTTTGATCAGCAAGTAATTCAAGCTCCCTCTCAGGCACCTTGAATAAGTATATTAGTGCTTTCACACTGCGCTTTGCTGCTGAAGGTACCTTGCTATTAACTGATCTTTCCCACTTCTATAAATACTTTTATGAAAATAGAAACCATACCACCGGTATGTATTATCCAACTTTAACTTTTTGCAAGGTAAAACATTACAGCGTCAACATATCTTTGCATTTGCAGTTCTATATTATTCTAGACTGCCCTTAGAATATATAAAGAAAACAAATATCAACTAGATGAAATCTGCCTGCTTTGCATGAAATCTGCTTATTCTGTATTTACCCAGTTTCAGTCATGTAGTGCAGTGACTAGTGCTCTGTTTTTATGGGGAGAAATCCACATCATCCCTAAAACTATGAAACTCCCAGTACTACTTTGGGAGGCCACTCTCTTAGCTTAGTTTACCACTCAGAGCTGTCACAAGGCTGCAAAACTAGTGGTTCCTCCAAGGAGACTGAACAGAATGGAAATATCCCCCCACAATAAAAAATGAACACTTCTAAAAAGCATTGATTAAGCACATACTTGATTGCCTTGTAGTAAAGTAAACTTTGGTTAAATTGTGCCAACTATTTAAAAATTCTGTGCCAAAGTAGCACAAATGCTGCTACAAGAAATGCTGATTCCCACAACCTGTATAAATGATAATAATAATAATAATCTTTCCATTTATTAATCGCTCAATCCATGCAGAGCTGCCGGCTCTGAGTGATGTACAGTTACTCATGAATTTCACATGGGACTAACAATGCTGGGGGTAAGGGAAGACAACATATATCAATTAAATCACACACATATTTTCGTAGTCAACGGAGATATTCAGATAGGATATAAATTAAGAAACTGGTTACAGATTATTTTATGTTCAACTTGTTCTTTGTGTTTATTGCTTTGCATAACTCTTCTATTTCTGTTCTTGGATAGCAGAAAGATACACAGGGTATGGAACCCTTCACTTTGACCATTAAAAATCTTTTCAGCAAATTGACTTAAAGTTTCGCAGGCATTTATTGTATACTTTCAAACCTATTTTGTACAAGGACTAGAATTTTTTTAATGAAACCTCAGATTTTTAGGAAATCAAGCTGTGCGACTATTCATTCTGTGATTGTTACATACTTCTGTAGTATCTCACTATATGTGCGGTGCTGATTAGTCAGCTCTGAAGATAATATAACAGTGGCTAAAACTGAGCTTTCAGAAATCAGTGTTCATGTAACTGCGTGTGGTTGCAGTTTGTCAGGAATGCATGAGCTGAAAGATGGGCTCTGTGAAAGTGACTTTACAGACAGATGTCCACCTCTGACATGGAAGTATAGTTGAGAACTCCTTGCCAAGAAATCCTGTGTATGTGTGTTTCTTAGGCTTGTCTGCTCCAGTACCCAGAGGAAGAAAAGGTAAAAAAGTGAAAGCTCAGAGTTCACAACCAGTACTACAAAATGCTGACTGGCTAGCGAGCTGTAACCCAGATGCCTTGTTTCAAGAGGATAGCTATAAGAAGCACCTTAAGCACCATTGTAACAAGTAAGTTTCTTAATCCAGTTCTGACCCAGAAATGGGAGTTTCCACAGGATACTAGTACCATGGTATAGGTCATGTAGATGGCTGTGATAATTGTTTTGCAACTTACAACATCAGTGATCAGTTCACATTTTTGTTTCACTGAAGCAAGCTTTCTCTGTTTGATTTAACTTATATTGAGCCTTTTAAGGAGTGTATAATATCACTAAAATATTGATGATGGTCATAGGGAAAAAAATTCTTTCTTCAGACTTACCTCCCTCAGCCAAATGACAAGGGCTATTTTTTATTTTTTTTATTTTGAAAAGAGGTGCTGGAACTCCCAAGAGGCAAATCAACTTTTCAATACGTATACTGAAAACTCATGAACTTTTAAACATTTTTAAAATAATTTTATCAAAGAGCTTCCGGAACGCCATTCTGGTGCGTTCCCCCAGAAAAAAAGCCGTGGAAATGACACTGGTACTGTAAATATGACTGTTTATACAAATTCTCTGCAGTCCAGTTTGCCTAAATTGCTCTATTTATTCTAATGCTCTTTTGGAAGAGATATTCACAAACATTCATAATAGATTTATGGTATTTCTGGGTGCGTTAAGCACTGTGTTAGGAGTATTCACATTTTGGTGAGGTAAGGCAACTATTCAGCCCCCCCGGACTTTGGTTAAGTTGATGTCATGTAAAAACTTGTTGGTCTTGAGTTCCTTGGAATGAGTCCCTTGGAATGATCCTGCTTGTTCTTGGTGATGAGCCATGTGATGAACCTGAATCCTGTCAGCCATTCAGGAGAAGGGTTGAGTAATGTAACATCCTGTGGGTATGCGCTGTGCCTACATGGAGGCAGGCAATGGCAAACCACCTCTGAGCATCCTGCAGTTGTATGACATATGCTGGCTAACAGCCACAGTCAGGATCCATATAATTGCTCAATAATAATAAACAAAGTTCCTAGGATGCTGTACAGATTGTTAAGGCACTGTACAAAATATTACAACCTATGGTACTTTGAACAGTAGGTACTGGTCCATTTCTGTATGACTGACGACCTCCGGAGACATCTGGATCAAGGCGGAACGGCGGTACTGCTGTTGTTAGATCTGTCGGCCATGTTTGACACAGTCGACCACCAGTTACTAGTCCACCGCCTTGCTGACGCGGGGATTAGGGGGCTTGCCTTGCAATGGTTTGCTTCCTTTTTTCAAGGTCAGGGACAAAGGGTGGCACTAGGGGAACAGCGTTCCAGGAGGCAGCCACTTGAGTGTGGTGTGCCTCAGGGGGCTGTGCTGTCCCCGATGTTATTTAACATCTATATGTGCCCCCTTGCCCAGATTGCCTGGAGGTATGGGCTGGGATGTCACCAGTATGCTGATGACACCCAGCTTTATCTGATGTTAGGCAGCCAGTCGGACTCCAGACCAGAAGACCTGGATTGTGCTTTGCAGGTCGTGGCTGGGTGGCTCAGACTGAGTCGGCTGAAGCTGAATCCAGCGAAGACGGAGGTCCTGTGCCTGGGTCGGGGCGGTTCGGGGGCGGGGGTCCTACTCCCGACCTTTGGGGGGGTTCATTGATCCCAGCGCCAGAGGTTCGGAGTTTGGGGGTTCTCCTGAATCCCTCCCTTACCATGGAGGTCCAGGTGGCAGCCACTGCCAAGTCAACCTTTCATCATTTTAGGCTGATTAGGCAGTTGATTCCCTTCCTCGACTGTGCTGACCTGGCTACAGTGATCCACGTGATGGTCACCTCGAGACTAGACTACTGTAATGCTCTCTACATGGGGCTGCCTTTGTCGTGGATTCAGAAGCTACAGCTAGTGCAGAATGCTGCAGCCAGGCTGTTGATGGGTCTCCCTAGATGGGAGCACATCCAGCCTGTGCTGAGGACACTGCACTGGCTGCCAATAGCATACCGAGTCCACTTCAAGGTGCTGGTTCTCACCTTTAAAGCCCTATATGGCCGGGGTCCAACATACCTATGGGACCGCCTTTCCCCATATATTCCACAGAGAGCACTACGGTCTGGGTCTCAAAATCGGTTGACCCTTCCTGGCCCGAGGGAGGCCAGGCTAGCTGCTTCTAGGGCCGGGGCCTTTTCGGTGGTGGTCCCTACCTGGTGGAACGATCTCCCAGAGGAGATCAGGGCCCTGCAGGACCTTTCGCAGTTCCGCAGGGCCTGCAAGACGGAGCTCTTCCGCCAGGCATATAATTAGGGGCTGGCGCCGCCACAGCACACGGCCTGCAAAGTCATCATTGAGCAGCTGCCATAAGAGTTGACAAGCAGAGTAACATCTAGGCACTTTTATACTGGAAGCTGGAAACCCTTCTGAAAGCATTCCTCTTCATTGAATTTTAACCGCCACCAGCACTTTGTAATGTATTATTTTGTTATGTTATAATCTGTATTATGTATGTTTTTATCATGTATTTACATTATTGGAAGCCGCCCTGAGCCTGCTTGTGGGGAGGGCGGGGTATAAATCAGACAATCTCCCTTATAAATAAAAGCCGAATGGTGGTGGCACTTCTCTAGAACATTCCACATGCTCCAAAATCAGTTCGCTCTTTGATCTGTCATTCAGAGGGTCTCTCTATCCACTGGCTGCTTTGCCTGAGTCCTGCCTCCAACATTCTAAACATTTTGCAGTTCCTCTCCCCCCCATAGCCAGTCAGAACACAGAGATTATTTGCATATGCAGCCTCATTGGCCTCTGCCTCGGAACACAGAGGTTGTTTGCATATGCAACTTGATTGGCTTTTGCCTCTAACATTCTAACCAGTTTTGTTGTTCTGAGGTAAAATGTGTCCAATCTCCAGGTGAGGGCTGGAGATCACTCAGAATTACAACTGCTTTCCAGATGGCAGAGATTGCTCCCCTGGAGAAAATGGTGGGCTCTGTGTCCAATGTGACATAGCAGTCAGGGCTTCAGAGCATGGGAGAGGCTGCAGGTGTGTGGGAGGTGGAAATCTGAAGAGTGAGGGGGGAATAAAGGTAGGTTGATGATTGGCTGGGAAGGAGATAGGATTGCCAACTCCAGGTGGGAAATTCCTGGAGATGTGAGGGATAGAGCCTGGAGAGGGTGAGGTTTCAGGAGGCGTGGGACCTCGGACAGGTACAAAGCCATAGACTCCACCCTCCAAACCAACTATTCCCTTCTGGGGAACCATCGTTGCCAATCTCCAGGTAAGGGCTGGAGATCACTCAAAATTATAACTGTTCTTTAAGTAGCAGAGATCAGTTCCTCTGGAGAAAATGGTGGACTCAGTATTATACCCTGCTGAGGTCGCCACAGCAAATTGACACTGAGTGTCCAAGGCCGGGGCACCCGCCCAGAGCTTCTTTTTAGAGGCCGTTGTATTTATTTCCACGACGGGCCTTTTTCCTAGTAAATAAATAAATTAAAAAAACTTCTGAAAGTGAGGAACGTTGCAACAGCAGTTTGAGATATAGCATGGAAAAATACCTTGTTAGGACCCCCTCTTGTTTTAGCACTAACAGGGATAATGGCCAGTTGGAAGAGATCTTGAAAGCACACTGTGTATTGCTTGAGCCCCATCCGTCCCCTCATGCCCATTCTCCAAAACCATGACGACATATCTCAGTCCAACACTTCAGTGTCCTCTCATTTTACATGGGGTAGCTAGTGGGTAAGGAGCAACACCTTACGTACTTGCTAGGCACTGTAAAAGTATTGGTTCTGACCTAGAACATACTCGTATTGAAATGACAGGACACTACATTTTTGCAGGGATCAGAACTAGTGCCTCACTGTGGTGGTTTTTGTACAGCTTGTGTCCTGTGTTAAATCTACAGGTGCCTGAGAGACCTTTTCAACTTCAATGAGTCCTTAGGGCTTTCTGTCATTGTACTGCAGAGAGGGAGGGCCTGGGGGATGCCTCAGAATGTGATAGCATAGCAGAGAAGTAATGCTAAAGAGCATCAGTGACCCCCCCCCCAAAAAAAAGAACTAATGTGGGGCCTCCCTCCCAGTTGGCCAGCACTCTCTTGAATGAAGTGTGGCCTACAGAAATCAACAACATCCCATTGGCTGCCATTTGGCCTTCATTGCATGAGACAGTGATGAGTCTTTCAAGTACAGAGTTTTCATAAATGTGTATGTTCTGATTAATGGTTTTCTAGCATTCAGAATGAAAATTAATGCGTGTTTAGTCACATCAGTTTGGCCTTTGATTTGGGAATATATGATTCCAAGAAATTCTAGTGCATTCCCGATCAAGATTATTTTCTATCATTAGGGATGTAGAAAAGTGCAATAGTAAATTTGGCTAAAGTTTTTCTTTTTTGGGGGGGGGGGTAATCCTGCCTTCAGAAAACACTGATTTTTCTCTGTTCTCAGAAGCAAAAATTTGTATAATCTAACAAGGCTGACATTCCATATTGGGGGTTTATTGTAAGGTAGTAAAACCAGATTTTATATCTCGTTTATTCCTACAACTTCTGATGTGCTTCCAAAAATGGTATTAAGGCAGCAGCTGAGGAAATTTTATGAGATAATGAAGCAGAACAGTTACTGAAAGCCATCTGCTCAGTTGTTTACAAACTTGCTTCAATACTTCAGAGGCAGTGGTAGAGTACGTGTCTAAACTTCACAAGCTGCACTAGGTAGAACTAAATGAAATGCGCCTGGGTTGGGCTGAGCGCGATCCCTCTCTGTGCAGTCTAAGCGGTTGCCAGGCAGGCCTGTTGGAAGCCAGCAGAAAGCACCACACAGAGGTGATTATGTGCCACCATCTGTCACGCTTCAAGCCTACCATACAGCATGGCTAATCAGCCTTGGCAGGATGATGGATGAACAGCAGCAGCTGCCAAAAGCCACTGTTGGCAAACAGTCCTGAAGTTAAGAACTTTTCCCCCTCTCTGCCTTCCTCTCCAGGGTCCTGCTGCGTGTCCGCATGCTGTACTATCTGAAGCAAGAAGTTATAGGGGACCAAGCTGACAAGATCTTAGAGGGTGCTGATTCAAGGTTAGTGCAAATGTTAGCTTATTCGTCGATTTATGCTCAATGTAATCTGTAACTATATTTATCAGAGACATTTAAAAATTTAGCAGTTGCCTATCTGGGTTCAAGCCACTTTTAATCATCACTCCATGCTTTGAGTATTTGGGGCGGGTACGTATATAAAAGTGGGCAACGGATTTTTCATCAGGTAGTGAAAAAGATCAATATTTTCTGTTTTCACAGAATAGATTAATGTATAATATTTGATATAAATATTAAAAGAAATGTCATTAATCATAACAAAATTACTTCTAATGTAATCTTAAGACATATTAATTTCTTCTGTCATTTTAAAAAAAATTGCCCTTTTAAATTTTATTATTAACATATTTAATTGTACCTAAACATTCAAAAGAGTTTCCAAATATGTAATCCTTTTTAATAGTGATGTGGATATCTGGATTCCTGAACCATTTCATGCTGAAGTTCCTACAGACTGGTGGGATAAAGAAGCAGATAAATCCCTTTTAATTGGCGTGTTCAAACATGGTAAGTGCTGTCTCACTGTCAACGGAACTTCTTAGTAAAGCTTTCTGTGTATACCAGTATTCAGTCACAATATTAGCAAGTGTAGTTCCAAAGAGCTGTTGGCTTCTGTCTCCTTTTTGCTTTCTGCTTTTTTTTAAAAAAAAAACCTAATTTGAGTTGTAAATATCAGATGCTGTTTTTAAATGTTTGCAGAACATTTCAGAAGAAAGCATTACTTTCTTGGCTGTAAATAACACAAAACCATATTTGTTTAAGTAATAGTCAAGTAGTATTATAGATCTCCATAAACTCTGCTTCCAGCACTGTTTCACTTGCTAACTCTGCCAGCCAGTGTCAAAGTGGACGGTGGGCTTAACCTCTGCTATTAATCTGTACAAGTGCCTCCTGGGCTTTGTTCCAAGCAATATTTCACAAATGTCAGTGCTGAGAACTCCCGGCTCCCTTGAGTGGGATGCAGCCTTGTTAACTTTGAAAGGCTGGGGATGCAGAGCTGGCATGATATATACAGTGAGCAATTCCTGATTATAATCCCAATTCTCTGGAGGTTGCAGAGGTATTCTCAGCAGCCCAGCCTGACTAAAGGGGAGAATGATGGCTTATAAAACCTTTCATGATTACAGTTTGGCTTGAGGCTCTACAGCAGTTAAGGACAGTGTGTTGTAGTACAAATCCTAATTGAATTGTGCTGTTCTGCCTATGTACAGCAGTTCTGTTTTGTGGGCTCAGCTGAGGCAAGTCTAGTCTAAAAATCATTTTCCTGCCGTGCACTGTTGGGATCTGCCATTTCCCATCTAGTCAGCTTGGGCAATAAGAGAAAGCAAACAGCAGTTTGAAAACCATGGAGGTACCAGTGTCATCTTACTGACGTGCATCCTCCCAAACCAAATGAGACAGGTTTGCTACCCTTAGGTATTTGCCCATGTATGCATTTCCAAACACAAAGTGCAGCTTTCAGTTAGGACCTGTGCTGCTTTAAAGAAGGTGGGATAGGAGGATGCTTGATTGTTTGCCCTCAGTGTGCTTGAAGCATTACAGGGCACAAGAAGACATCCGTGCCCCAAGAAGCTTACAATATAGAATTTGACTTAAAGGAGGCAACAAAGGGAAGGGATGGAGGGTAAAACAAGGATCATCAGGAGAATACCTGTTCATTCCATTTGTGCTTAGTTTCAGCAGAAAAGGCTTAATTTCAGTAGGGACAGGGTTGCACTAAAGAGTTCTCGGAAAACACGCAGTTTGAAGAGGAAAGAAATGAGAGAGGTGGCAATATCACAGGTCAGAAGGAAACTCCCTCCCTCACACAAACATACTCTCTACCTAATTCCTGGAAAATGTCAATAAATGTAATTTGTTACATATGAATGGCATATTCTTCTAAGTTACTGAAATTACTGAAAAGAACCCTGTTTCTAGAAATATGGATGCTTTATATATTTCATACCAGTATAAAAGTATCATTTGTAACAGAGTCATTTTAGTTACATTTGCGAGAGCTTAGTATTTTTCTGTCTGGGTGCAGGCTATGAGAAGTACAATTCGATGAGAGCAGACTCTACTCTGTGTTTTCTGGAACGCGTTGGTATGCCTGATGCCAAGGCCATAGCTGCTGAACAGAGAGGGACAGATATGTTAACAGATGGTGGTGATGGGTAAGAAGGACATTATAAAAATTAATAAACTTTATGGTGTTGTCATAAATACTAGCATTGCTTCACTGGTTGCATGATATGTGAAAATTCTAAATAATAATTACTACTTGTAATAATGTTAAAAGGTAATTTTTATATAGAAGTAATTTTTAAAAGTTTGGAAAGCATTTATATGGGTAAGTAATTAGACAGTAATAGTTGATTTGTTCATTTCTTTTATACCTTTTATGTCATTTAGCATTTCCTTTCATGAAACAGAGAATAAGAAGCAGGCAGGACATGTGCTTTAATTCTTATCATTGCTCCTATGCTTTTTATTCCATGTAGAGGTGATTTTGATAGAGAGGATGAAGATCCAGAATATAAACCAACGAGGACTCCATTCAAGGATGAAATTGATGTAAGAATCTCAACATGCTATTCTACTGATATAATTTTCTTATGTATTTGGATAACTTTTATATTGCATATTATTGTACATAAGAATAGGGAAGTTTATTGTGTAGTAAATTAATGCTGTTGGATTTTTAGAAGCTCACTTCCCCAGTTCCCTTAAAAAGAAATTATTGAAAATGCGAATACTAAATAATCCTCTTTTTTCCAAAGGAATTTGCAAACTCGCCTTCTGACAAAGAGGAATCCATAGAGCTCCACACAAGTAAGATTTTGTGAAAGCTTGTAAATCATTAGAGGGAGACGAGACGTTTGTGGATCAATCTATTTATTTATTTATTTAATTAATTAATTTTATTTTTTCTCCCGCCGAAGCAGCTCAACATGGCTGCATTTGCTGATACTTGAGAACCATTGTGGTGTAGTTGTTAAGAGTGTCAGACTAGTGTCTGGGAGACCCAGATTTGAATCCCCACGTGTGCCATGGAAGCTCACTGGGTGACCTTGGGCCAGTCATACTCTCTCAGCCTAACCTACCTCACACAGTTGTTGTGAGGATAAAAGAGAAGAGAGGTGAATGATGTAGGCTACTTTGGATCCCCACTGGGGAGATAGGCAGGCTATAAACTGAAGTAAATAAAAAAATACTTAAATCTGGACATTGAGACAATGAACAGACCAGATAGATGTTTCTACAAACCTAAGAAAAGCCCTGAGATTGCAGAAAAAGCCGAAATTTCTTTTAAAAAAAACTATTGAGGGGTTAACCCTCCCCAATATAATGGAAACAGCACCTGTAGCTTTAAGCAGCAAATGTCTCAGCAGTAATGTCAGCATTCAGGCTTTAGTTTTTGTCAGTAGAAGGTGGGAGCAGGGCCATTTCCAGAGCTATTTTGGTCTTTGAGAGGAAACTCATCAGGGCAAGGCACAGCAGCAACCTCTGGCGACTTGATACTAACTGACTTTCAGGACTCATCCAAGCCCAACTGCTTGCTCCTGTTCAGCAGCAGCCACCCCATGATAGGCAGCTTGGTGTAGTGGTTAAAGCTTCAGACTAGAATCTGGGAGATCCAGGTTCAGGTCCCCACTTTGCTATGGAAGCTTACTGAGTGACCTCACTGAGTGAGCCTAATTTACCTCACACAGTTGTTGTGAAGATAAAATGGAGAAGAGGACACTGATGTTAGCTGCATTGGGTCCTCATTAAGGAGGAGGCTGGGGTATAAATGAAGTAAATAATTAATAAATACAGCTGAATGGGTGGGGGCAGATTAAAGGTAGATTGCTTTGTGGGTGGGAATGAGAGAATAAAGCAGGATAAGAGAGGGAATATGGAGGCTTCCAGAAGAGGCAAAAGAGGAAATAGTGTGGGAAGAAGACACAGGGGAAAGTGAGGGTTTCCACTATACAACAGGGGCCTAGCGTCTGTCACCGCACAACTCGACCAAAGTATTCCTAGGGAGCAGCTGCCAGGGGAGAGAAAGCTGAATACAAGAGGGCAGATAAAGGTAGTTGAGCTGGTGGATGGGAAGCAGAGAAGGAATCAGGAAAAGGGGCAAGGCTGTGGGGGCTTTCATAGAAAGGAAAGAGGAACTATCTGCCGAACACCATCAGGGCCCTGCAGAACGTTATGCAATTCCACAGGACCTGTAAGGTGGAGATGTTCCACCAGGCTGTTGGTTAAGGGCAGCAACGGTTTTCAAACTGGCTGACACACACACCCCTTACTCTCCAAAGTTATTTTTTATTTATTTATTATTTAGATTTCTATCCCGCCCTCCCCGAAGGCTCAGGGCAGCTAACAGGGCATAATGCTTGTTCGTCTTCCTCCCTGCCTGCGAGGAAGTCGGTAATACAGAATAGGAAATAATGATAAACTCGCCATCCGATTTTTAGATTTGTTGTATTAATTTTATCTGTACATTCTTTTTTTATTACTTTGATGTATTTTTATATGTTGTAGTCTAGAACCCTGCAATAGCAGGGATTGGGTGATTCATAAATCCAGTAAATAATAATAATAGTAGCAGGGAAAAGTGGGATGCTGCCCACAAGTCCTTGCAGGTCCCTTGTTTGTTTGTATTATCTGATGTTGATAGGGGTGTGTGGCTTCCTAGAGAACACCCAGAATCATTTAGGTAAGATTCTATGTAGCAACTATTTTTGCTTACAAAGCATTATTACCTTAACAGTGCAATCCTTAGAAGAGTATAACTCTGTTTAGGATTGTATACATATCGCTCAGAACCAGTCCATAATTTTGTCTAGTTTTCTAATATAACTCAATGCTGCTACTAGAATTTCACTGAGAATACTGCTCATTGCAAGTTCTCGGCCTGTATATAATTGAGAATTTCTCTACTTTGAGGAGATTCTGTTCTGAAGGATACTGGGTGTTAGTGATGGTTCTGGGTCAGTATTCTTTCATACATGACAAAATTAGCATTTTGTTTTTAGTCTAGACCACCTAATCTCAATTTTGTTAATCTGTAGGCAAGCACAATGAAAGCAATGCTGATTTTGGCCAACTCTACTGGCCTAACACTTCAACCTTGACTACCCGCTTGCGCCGCCTCATTACTGCCTATCAGCGTAGCTATAAAAGGCAACAAATGAGGCAAGAGGCACTAATGAAGACTGACCGGCGTCGACGGCGACCTCGTGAAGAAGTGAGAGCATTAGAAGCTGAAAGAGAAGCTATAATAACAGAAAAACGTCAAAAGTGAGCATCTTCATTTGTATGAATGTTTGCTTTCATCTTATTTGTTTGATTATTTATGAGAATTTTGTCCCACCCTCCCCCGCAAGCAGTCTCAGGGTGGGGTACAATACACCACAAACATATAAAAGCAATTTATATAATTGAAGTTAAAAACCCAACTAAACCTACATGATGGCAAGATGGTAAAGCCTCGACCACAGGGATATAACTAACTCAGGAAGGGCTATCGAGGTAATACTTGGGCCAGCCCTCAGCCTGTGATACAAATCGATGTAACAAACAGCATAGGCTTGTTGGATGGGGGCTGGTTAGAGCAGGGGAGGACAAATATAGTGAGGCACCTGCCACCTCAACCAAAGGCCTGACGGAACAGCTCCGTTTTACAGGCCCAGTGGAATTGCAATAAATCCCACAGAGCTCTGATCTCAATTGGGAGCTTGTTCAGGCTAGAGTTGAAAAGGCCCTAGTCCTGGTCGCGGTTAAGCGGATGTCTCTTGGGCTGGGGGTTACCAGTAAATGTTCTGCCAAGCATAAGGATCTCTGAGGATCACATTGAGAAAGACAGTCCCGCAGATATGTTGGTCCCCCTGACCACACAGGGCTTTAAAGGTTAATATCATAACCTTGAACCTGATCCAGTATTCAGTTGTTAGCAACCAATGCAGCTGGCAAAGCACTGGCTGTATGGATGCCCGCACAGACATCCCAGACATGAGGCGTGCCACTGCATTTTGCACCAGCTGGAGTTTCCGGGTCAGATTCAAGGGCAGCCCTGCATCGAGCGAATTACAGTAATCCAGTGTGGAGGTAACCATTGTATGGATCACTGTAGCCAAGTCACAGGAGGAGAGATAGGGAACCAGCTGCTTCACCAGCCAAAGATGATAAAAGGCTGATCTGGCAGTGTTTGTGACCTGGGCCTCCATTGAAAGTGAGGCATCCAGGGCCACTCCCAAGCTCCTCACCATTGGTGTTGACACTAGAACTGTCCCACCAAGGGTTGGGAGTTGGATTCCCATTCTCCTTCCCCCCCCCCATTCCCGCTCAGATACAGGACCTCCTTCTTCGATGGATTTAATTTCAGCCAGCTCTGTTGTAACCAACCAGCTACAGCCTCCAAAGCCTCAGCCAAAATGTCTGGGGCGGAATCCAGCTGGCCATCCATCAACAGATACAGCTGGGTGTCATCAGCATACTGGTGACAACCCAGCTCAAACTCCACCCCCACCCCCACCCCGGTTAACTGGGCAAGAGGGCTTATATAGGTGTTAAATAACATCAGGGAGAGGATCACCCCCTGAGGGACGCCACATACAAATGAGTAACGCAGAGGCACCCTCTCACCAAGCGCCACTCTCTGTCCCTGACCATGGAGAAAGGAGATCAGCCACTGCAAGGCTGTCCTCCATATCCCAGCGTAGGCAAGGCAGTGGGCCATCAGATCGTAATTGACTGTGTCAAACGCTGCTGTCAAGTCATGCAGTGACAGCAGCGCTGACCTGCCTCGATCCAGGTGTCTCTGGAGATCATCTGTGAGGGTGACCAGTGCTGTCTCCCTCCCATGGCTGGTATGGAAACCAAACTGGAATGGGTCAAGGATGGAGGCATCATCCAGAAAAACTTGGAGCTGTTCAACTGCCTTGCCCAGGAACTGAAGGTTTGATACTCAGTGGTAGTTGGCTGGGACCAAATATGTTTTTTTTTCAAGAGCAATCTCACCACTGCCTCCTTTAGAAGCCTTGGGAAGGTCCTTGACGAGAGGGACGAGTTGATGATCTCTCCCAGGAGGACCCAAATCCTGTCACCGCTGGCCTTAATCGACCAGGATGGGCATGGGTCAAGGAGGCAGGTGGTGGGTTTCACAGCTGCCAGGACTCTGTCGACCTCCTCCTGAGAGAGATGGCTCTGATCCAAAAAAATTTTCACTTTATCTGGTACCACACTGGAGCATGTAAACACTAAGAATTGTTCTTAATTCTTCCTGTTTCCAGATGGACAAGACGAGAAGAAGCAGATTTTTATCGTGTTGTTTCTACTTTTGGGGTTATTTTTGATCATTTAAAGCAGCAATTTGATTGGAACCAGTTTAGAGCCTTTGCCAGGCTTGATAAGAAGTCTGATGAAAGTTTGGAGAAGTACTTCAGCTGTTTTGTTGCTATGTGCAGGCGAGTCTGCCGAATGCCCGCCAAGCCAGATGAAGGTAGGTTCTCTGATAGTCATAATTCTAGCAAATGATGTTAAAAGTAAGACATTAACACCTGAGAAATACAAGCAGGTGTAAGTAAATTTACAGCTACGTATCTGTGTCATGATAACCTCCCGTGTCCATTTCTGCTTCTCTATTTCATGTCTTCCCCCTTTGCATATGCACACTTCCATTCACACTACCCATATGCAATGCATGCTACTCATACTCACATACCTGTCATGCATATATAACTAGTCTTGTCACTGAATTTTGTAATTTCTTGGATTCACAAAACTCATAATGCTAGCCTCCAATCCAATAGGAACATTAAGAACAAAGAGTTGTTTTCCAGTTCAGATTTCATAATCCTGAGCTAAGAAAAACTTTTCCTTCCCTCCTCTTCACACTGTGGCTTTCCTGGCTACAGAGCACGTGGCAGCAGAGAGAGAGGTCTCCCTTATTCTCTCTTCCCCTGGTGCCTGGAATGCTGCCGTGGCAGCATCCCAGGGAGTTTTTCCAGGCCACCTGACATCCTCTGGACATTGAGCAACCTGGAACTACATGCAGGGCTTCTTTCTAACAGAAGGTAATCTGACAAAATAAAGAGGTGCCATTATGCTTTTTTGCTGCTGCCACTTCTGTCAGATGAGAGGAATGACAAGGAACAGTGAGAGTTAGAGGAGAGGTGCTTAGAACTGGACAGGTGGTTGTTTTCTGATTTGAAGGAAAACTCGAGAGATGGGTTCAGGTGGGTAGCCATGTTGGTCTAAAGCAGCAGAACAAAGTTTGAGTCCAGTGGCACCTTTAAGACCAACAAAGTTGCATTCAAGGTATAAGCTTTCCTATTCAAGCGCACTGTATCTGATGAAGTGTGCTTGCACATGAAAGCTTATACCTTGAATGAAATTTTGTTGGTCTTTAAGTTGCTACTGGACTCAAAGGAGAGATGGGTCACCACATTCACAAATACAATAAACCAATAGTGTGATAAAGCCAGCCATTCCTTTCTCTGCTGCATTTCTTCCCACCACAAGAACTCAGCTCAGCTGACACTAATCTTAGTGTCTAAACTGGCAAAATTACATTTTGTTTGCAAATCTGCATGTTCAGTTCTTTAATGGTCTTTCTGTAACTATAGTAGACATCTTTCGAAAGTTCTCCAAAGGTGGGTTTGACTTAAGTGTAGTATTTTTAAATGTTTTGTACTACCCATATCTATCTCTTTTCCTACAGAACCCCCTGATCTTTCAACTGTGATTGAGCCAATCACTGAAGAGCGCGCTTCTAGAACTTTGTATCGCATAGAGCTCCTGAGGAAAGTCCGAGAGCAGGTTCTTCATCACCCACAACTGGCGGAAAGGCTAAAACTGTGCCAGCCAAGCTTGGATCTGCCAGAATGGTGGGAATGTGGCAAACATGACAAAGATTTGTTGATTGGTGCTGCTAAACATGGAGTCAGCAGGACCGATTATCACATCTTGAATGACCCTGAGCTCTCCTTTCTTGATTCTCACAAAAACTTCGCTCAAAGCAGGGGTGGAGGTAGTCTGAATACTGTGTCCTTGTTAAATCCACTGAGTGTTTGCTGTAGTCAGGTGTCGTCCATCGTCCCATCAACAACAGCACAAGATGAAAAGTCTGTGGAACACGTTGATGTTAAATTGGAAGGACCTGAGAAAACAGCAGCCAAAGAGAAGTGTGATGCTAAAGAAGAGGAAGCACCTGATGTTGCAGTGAGGAATGACAAGGAGGACTGTGATGCTGAGCCTGAGCCTGGTCCTATTAAATGTGAAATTAAAGACATAGAATTGAGTACAGAAGTAGATCCAAAGTCTATTTCTGAGAAAGGTTCAGAAGATGATGAAGAGGAAAAACTTGATGATGATGATAAATCAGAAGAGTCATCCCAACCTGAAGGTAATTATGAAGAAAATATACATTGATTAATAAGTAATACTGGTTTTGTTTGGCCAGCCATGTTCAGGGAATTCTCCAGGGTCTGAATGAGCTCAAAAGAAGATGTGTAAATTTGATGTTTGTCTTCTTCAAACCTTTGTCAGTCACAGATATAGATTGTGCAACTTTAGGATTACAGGAGTTCAGTGACTTTCAAACAGTTCCTCCCTTTAAAGAGCCCTTTCCATACTGACTTGCCCAGAAAACTGTTTACATTTTAGAGGATTATGTAATATGTTCTCTAGATAGAACTGGCAAGGTCTGTTTGGCTTTGTAATTGTTCTATGAAAACAGTGTGAATCTTGTGGTTGCACAGTACAAGGGGAAATCAGTAGTAGTGGCCAAGAACTCGCCTAAAGTAGTTGGAAAATCGTGGCTCTGCTTGTTTCTACTATATCAAGAACTTCTGCCTTGGTGTTTTAAGTCTCTGTTAAATGAAATTAAAACATAACTTTTTATGTACTTGTAGGCCGCAGGGGTGGGGATAAAGAGGAAGAACCCCCAAGCTGGTTGGTACTGCATCAGCCCTTTAAAGGGCTGCTTTTTCAGTGGGCGGTAGACCTAGTGTTCAAAGGCCAGGTGTACCGCATATCAACAATAATGTCTCGTTAAAATTTAAAGCAGCCAATGTACCATGTATCAGCTGCCCCCCCCCCGGCAATGTGGAGGGGGAAGAAACCGCACTCCGTAACTTGGCCGGGACCCTTTAAGCCTCAAAATCCACTCTGATAGACCTGGCCTCTGAGTCTGGGCATCAGGTCTATTATGTATTGAGTTCAATGGGTGGTAGACCTAGCCTTCAAAGACTGGCCTTCTGCAGTCATTTTTAAAGTCTGAAGGAAGTGCATGCTTTCTCTGGCCTTCTGCTTCCTCCCTGGTTGCTCCTGCTGCCAGGGGGAGGGGGCAGCTAGTCCCTGCCTCATCAGTCCCTTTAAATGATCTTTAAAGATTAAAGGGCCATAGTTTTCAGTGGGTGGTAGACCTGGCCTCAAGATGCCAGTCTACCAGTCATTGAAAGTGGCATTTTAAAGTTTAAATGGCTGATGCGCTGCTTGCAGAACACCAGAAACGCCTCCCAACATGATTCTACATAATTCACTCAATAAAGATAGGAAATATTATAATCAGGAAATATCAGAGTGCTTTTTATGGTGTTGGATATTTCTGGTATGATACCAGAAATATCAGTTGCCCCTAATATGAGCTAGTCATAAGGGGTCTCAGGAGCAACAGTTGTCTCACATCTGAATTTAAAGACAGCCATGGGTTGACTGGCAAAACAGTTGTGCTCATTTAACATGGTGATAAAAATGGAGCATGAAAACCAGAAGACACAGTGTTTTGTCCCAGCTTCTATAGTCATAAAGCATCTAGCAAGTTACTATGCTGTTCTCTTAAATTGTAACCATGTTTCTGGAATGTGTATAGCAAAATAGCATAGGGTATTTCATTGCATTATATTTTTTTGGAAATATACCTGCAGTTCAATCACTGGTTTTTTTTATCTGCACTACTGTAGTGAAAAGGAGCATAACATTCACAATATTTGTCATTTATGCTATACAGAAAGCACGTTATAAAAGGATTTATATTCAGTAGACCAATAATATTGTAAATAATCCTAATCATTCTTTTTTTATCTGATAATTCCATTTTTCTATCATGAGTGATCTACATTTGTAGCTAATTCCTGATGTCTAATATTTCTCAGCAGAAACAATTTCTCAGTGGAAGAATTTTGATGAAGAAAGCAATGCATCCCTGAGCACTGCAAGGGATGAAACGCGTGATGGATTTTATATGGAAGACGGAGATCCATCAGTAGCTCAGCTGCTTCAGGAAAGAACATTTGCTTTTTCTTTCTGGCCTAAGGTTAGTACAATGCTGGGGTAACTAACACTTGCCACCTAACTGTTGCAAAATTATCATTTCTGAGAACTGATGAGCTTTAATGACATAATACAGTGTTTCTTAAGCTATAGGGCAAGGCCTTTTGGGGTGAGGGGATGCATGTGACCCTCGGGATGTGACGAATTGGTCTCCAACGGCTAAAGCACTTGCAGGTTTCCTCTGCTAGACATCTTAATAGGGAGCATACCAGACTCTCCAGTAGAGCAGCAACAGGCAGGAAGAACAAAAGTGCTTCGTCAGCTTTTAGACAACACAGCAAATGTGGGCAGACCAAAGGGACTCAGTCAGGGGCAGAATATTGAGCACTGGCTACTTTACAGCTTTCTGTAGCAGTTCTTAGATGGCCTTTGGGGGGGGCTGCAGAGGAAAAGGAGGTCCTTGATATATGCATGGAGCTCTGTGTGCAGCTATCAGTCTGAAAAAATTTAAGGAGCACCAGGACAATGACTATAGCTTTAGGGAATCTGCAAAATAAAAATATCAATCAACATTCAAAAAGTGGCTAAAAAGTTGGTATGGTAGCTATTTTAATATGTAGTATTTCCTTGATTATTTGAAATAAAACTATATAATCATGCTTTAATGGAAAATAAGGTCACAAACTAAGGTTGAGGGAGCAATTTTCTTTTGGGTTCAAAGAAGCTAGAGGCATACAGTAGATCATACTATTGATTAAGAGCATTTTGTAGTGTAGACAGACTGTAGTTTTGTTAAGTTCTCAAGTTCTTGTTAAACATAAATGGCTCTATTAGAGGAAAATCATCCATCAGCTTTTATTTTTTTAACGTGTCTAAGAATTTTTCAGTAGACAAAGTTGATAGAACTGTGTAGTAGTGATTTCATACTACTTCTGTATACAACTCAGTTCCTGGATTTAGAGAGTGCTATAGAAAGAAATAAAGTAGAAATAGTCTTAAGCTTCCTAATCACCATAACAGGGCCATCTGGTGGGGGGGGACCTTGCTGTAATAGGCTTATTCCTGGGGAAAGCAAGCAGCCAGCTGCAGCTGCTGAAGTCTGCTAGAGGCTTTTGCACTGTTCTGCAGTTCAGGGAGCTGAAGGATCATCCTGTGCAGTAATCTATAGCTAATTTCCAAACATTGCTACTGTTTTGGGTAAGTTAAAGATACAACGTTATTAACTAGTAAAATCCTAAAACCAAGTCATTTTTTATAGGAATCATGTTCCCCAAAACACCAAAAATATTATCCTATAAGCCCTGTTCGGGGTGCAGCAACATGCGTTTTGTGTTTATCTATATTGTAAGTTGACTGAACTGTAATTAGAATTTTTTAATGTACACGCTTCAAAGGAACCTGAAGTGATAATGGGCGTGGAATGAAAATTGACATTTATTAGATGTCCCTAGGTTGGTGCCCATTTCATAACATTGAACTTTATTAATAGTGACACTAATGAGGAACCACTTTCTGGGACAGAATGCAGCCTGTTGGCTCTGATATACCCAAGGCAAAGATGTTGTTGAGTTACATGTATTATAATACTGCTGACTTAACTGATGATGTCTAGTTTTGCTATGTGTTGAGAACTCAATAAATTTGTGTTAGATGGTTCATGCATTTGGGCTGTTAAGGCTCATGTTTCTTATTATTCCCATTAACAAGGATCCATTCTTCACTTACCTCTTTGCATGAAACAGAGTTTCAGAATTACTTGGAATATTTTTCTGATGTGGAATTACAGTTGTAAGTTTTACTTCCATTATACAGCTGCTAAGCTGTTACAGCAGCTCATGGCTTGACTGAGCCCAAATGGCTACTTTCACAGGACATTCATTATGTATTTTCCTTTCTATAGGATCGAGTAATGATCAACCGATTAGACAACATCTGTGAAGCAGTGTTGAAAGGGAAGTGGCCAGTAAATAGACGCCAGATGTTTGATTTCCAAGGGCTTATACCTGGCTATACGCCAACAGCTGTGGACAGCCCTCTGCAGAAAAGGAGCTTTGCAGAGCTCTCCATGGTTGGGCAAGCGAACATTAGTGGCAATGAAGATATCACAGTCTCTCCTCAGTTATCCAAGGCAAGTTTTATGTGAGGGGACTAAAGTGGTTTAATTTTGCTTTAGGAGAAATAAAACAGGACCTATCTTGTATGCAAATAGTCCAGGAAAACTAGAAAAAGGCCCAGTTTCTGAAAGGAAAAAAATAAAGCAAATTATATTAAGGTCTAAAATATGTTTCATTTTAGATTCTCCAGCAGAATTGTATATTCTAATAACCAAGTTGGCCAAATCTGGGCATAAGTAAATCTGATTATTGCAGCTGCCAGTGGGTAAGACAGGTCTTTTTAAAACCTGAAAAAACGCCCCAGGTTTGGAGAAAAATGTGAAATCTAAAAAAAATACATCAGAGGGTTGGAAAGAAACAGATGATAAAAGGAGCACCCGTAGCTTTAAAACACAAATACCCTCAGTGGTTGTTGCTAGGCAGCCACAACATTCCAGGTTTCCTTCATGTGACTAAAAGGCAGGGGGTCGGGGCAGGGCCCTTTCTAGGGCTGTTTTGGCCTTTGAGGGAGGACTCATCAGGGCTAGGCATGGGTCTGGTAGCAACCACTGGGTGACTTGATACTACCCGGCTTGCATGGCTCAGCTAGGCCTAGCTACTTGCTACTGTTCAACAGAAGCAATCCTATGAAAGCCAACGTGGTTAGAGCTTCAGAGTAGGGTCTGGGAGACCCAGGTTTGACTCCTCGTCTTGCTGTAGAAGCTCACTAAGTGATTTTGGGCCACTCACACACTTTCAGCCTAACCTACCTCACAGGGTTGTTGTGAGGATAAAAAAGAGGAGAATAAAATAAGCTGCTTTGGTCCCCACTGTGGTGAAAGGTGGGGTATAAATGAAGTAAATAAATAATAAATATAGTTGAAGATGGGACGCAAATAAAAGGTAGGTTGGTGAATGGCTGAGAGAGAATGAGGCAAGAAAGAAAAGATAATATGGGGGTTGCCAGGAGGAGGG